TTTATTTCTTCAGCTCTCAATCACTGCATTATATGTTTGGAGCATTTCAATCTCATCTCACTGAGACAGATTACTGGAGATATAGAGCCACGACTGATATTCAGATCATTTTATGTCAGCATCTGCTCTACTGTTATAAAGCTCTCATTGATTTACATTACAAGCAGCAGCATAATTATTTATTACAAATTGTTCCGATTTTTTGAATGCATTTTAAGAATACTTTTCCCATCAACTGGTTAAAATGCTCAACACAACGCTGTATGCTGGGTCAAAGACGCATGCGCACTCTGATGTAAACAAGTCCAACACGGATGAGAAGCACATGGCTGAACAAGTGAAGGAGACGCGCTGAATTAAACTGCACATTCATGCTTTTAATCTGGACTACAACATGCCCTAGATATTGTTTGAAAATTTTTTGAGTTTTTATTGTCGGGTCACACTTTACATTAAGGCTCCATTATTTAACATTAGTGTAAGGCTGCTTTGGTTTCCACATGAAGCCAAAACTCAGGAACTTTCACAAAACATATGCCATGCAACAAAACAATAAACTTTCTAATCTGACGGGAAGATCTAGAAGAAACAACTGTCCTTTCAGCCACCCTTAAGCCCCCCTCCTTCCTCCCTGGGCAGATGGCCCAGGCCATAAAAGTTGATTTAGGGGTGTCAAGAACTCAAGTTACTATACTTATATCATGCATTTACTATATCTTCAAAATTCATAAGCATTGGAAATTCATGAGCATTGGAAATATGATCTCAGTCCCATATCAGTAGAACAGACCAAAAACAAAGATCTCAAATCTGAGGAAAATTCTGTTCTTCTGGTGTGGGTTGTGCCCCTGATAAGGTCCTTTCCAAATGTTGTTTTTTCTCAGGTCATCTCATGTCCCAGCAAAAGTTCTGTGAAGTTTTTATTATCTTAAATTTATGATTGTTTGTTCTGATTTGGGTATTTAAAGAGAATTGGCAAAACATTCAAGGAAGCATCTGTAAACAGAACTTCCCACACGATTGCCGTGTGTCTCTCTATTTGCCAGGTATGCTGACTCTTTGAAATTATTTTAGTATTACTTTCTTATTCTAGGTTTGTGTTTCATGCTGATCAGTTGTGTAACCAAATTTTAACGCATTTTCTGTAATTGATGTATTCTCATTTTGGATTGATTGAATTTATTCTTTATTGTTCTTTATTATTGTTTGATTATGCCTGGCAAGAATAAATGTTAATTTTTTATTTATTCTGGGTTTTCTAGAAATAATTTTTTCTTGGTGGGGGTCGCGCTGGTCCTCAGCGCCCCCCTCCGGTGTCGTTCTTCCCGGAAGTGCATGAGGAGCTCACAAAGTCATGGAAGG